GACATTCACACAACACTTTCATCTGTCATTGATTCTATGGTCCACACAGCTGCAGCGTATAAAAGCATAAAATGTGACACATTATTTGAATTATTCCACCATGTGAATTGACATAGCATTTTTCTTGAAACAGAGGGGCGGTGGGGTAGCCTAATGGTTAAAGCGTTGGCTCGTCACGCCGAAGACCCGGGTTCGAATCCCCACATGGGCACAATGTGTGAAGCCCATTTCTGGTGTCCCCCGCCGTGATGTTGCTGGAATATTGCTAAAAGCGGCGTAAAACCAAACTCAGTCAGTCAGTCTTGAAACAGTGTATGATAAAAACTCACTCATCACTCTCTCACTCTTAAAGTCTGTAAGTACTGTGAACATAGATACTTTTTTCTTCTTGGTTTCTATTACAGACGTTAAAGTTAAGAGCTAGCCAACTGTACTTCTGCCTCTTCTGAATCCATTCAGCTTATCAGCAATTACGTCATTGTCCTCAGCCGACATAGTTAGCCTGTTATTCAGGAATTGGAATATATAGAGGATATTATATGAGTGCCCATGTCTTACTATGTTTACGGGGAGTGAGTGAGTGAATATGTTTTTTACCAGAAATGGGTTTCACCCATTGTACACATGTGGGGAATCGAACCCGAATCTTCGGCGTGACGAGCTAACGCTTTAACCACTAGGCTACCCCCGCTACTATGTTTACGACATTAGTGCCTAAATGTTGGTATTTCCTGAGCGAGAGGGAGGGATATACCAATATTTAGGCGCGAGTGTCATAAACATCGTATGATATGGGCACTCATATGATATTCTGTTTATTACCGAAGTCGTCAAATGGAGGAAAATAAACCGAAATCTACTTTCAAACACAGGCTGGCTACCGTCGTCGCTGCATGTAGAACGCAATGTCATAGAAGAAACATGACGTCATAGCATTGTTCAAGATGTCACGTCACCATGACAAAGTGATATTTTGCCCTAGGGCATCGCCCTCGTAGGTAATAAAGCTTGTATATAACCGACGTTAGCGTTATAACCTGTGCTTATAGTTAGGGGTGACTAAATGGGTAGGTTGGTGATGCCTGGTAGCTTGACTGCGTGTCAGCAGGCCCTTCAATACTGGAATTGTTCGTGATATCAATCACTGGTTTGTCTGATAAAGACATTGTAAGTTGTTCACTGGTCTCGAGGGGGACGTGGGATGATGTACCCTCGATGTTTGTTTATGTTCCCTGAGCCCGAAGGGCTTCATACACCTACCGAACACCCCAATGGTAAGCTTGAACTGTTTGAAGCACGGATATCGGATCATAGTATGGAGTACTAGAAGACAAGAAATATAAATTTATAGTTATCTCCCTTGAATCGATTTGCAATCGCAAAACATCTGTAATTTCCGTACATCATACGTGATTTAATGCTATTCGAGATAAAGAATCACTACTATGAAGTACCAAATGAGTTCGGCATTCCCAGCGGGGTACATAGAAAATTTTACTCGCTTGTAAGCGGGGTACATTGAAAATAATAGAGGAGCGCTCAGTCAATCAGGAAATGACATTTATGTGTGAGGTAAGATTAAATTAATGGTTCATTATAAAGACAATCTCCCACTCAGTTATGAGCTGCATGAAAGTCGAGACACATTTATTGTAGGTTTGATTTTCCCACATGGGCACAATGTGTGAAGCTCATTTCTGGTGTTACTAACCCCACTGTAATATTGCTGGAATATTGCTAAAAGCGGCATAAAACCATACTCACTCACTTACTGACACTGTGTATCAAAATTAGGCCCTCAGTCGATCTGTTTCCTGTTATGTCAGCTCACCGTCTGCATGAAATAGTCATATATATTGTATGTATGTTGAGAAAATCAATATGTACACTGAAGACGACTTCCGTGCAGATGTCAACAGGTAACCTGAATAGACATGCATGTTATCAGTATCAGTCTGTTCATAATGGCGGCTCTTATATTACTAGATAGATGTACATTAAAAAATACAAAAATTCTTACACAGCTTCATTCAATCACAGCTATCAGGTTATTCACTGAAGGCTCACTGCAAAAACTGCTTGTTAAACTACAGATTCTGATTTGATGCAGTGCAATCCTAATGGCTACACTACAGGGTTGTTGAGTTGAGTTGAGTTTTATGTTGCATTGGCACTGTTTCAGCCATATAGTGACGAGACCAAGCTTAAATAAGTCTGCATACATGGACATTTTAAGTACAAGGCTTAAAAGAGTTTGGTTTGTAAAAATATATTTATTACATGATTATTTCCAAACAGAAAACGTCATAGCACCAAATTCAAAAACAAACAATCCGTCATTCACATCACATAGTTACAATTTATGATACAGGTGGACTTCCCTTAGGAAGCTAACAATGAGATGCCGAGTGACGTGGGAGAACAGGTCTTTTTAGATTTATCGCTTCATAATGTGAGTCCCTTGCATTTGAAAAGTCCACACAGTCAAGCAGTATATGCTTGATGGTAAACACTTCATCGCAAGAGATTCTCATAGGAGGTCCATCTCCTTCCGTTTTCAGCGGATAGCCATGAGTAAACCGACTGTGGCCAGTACGACATCGTTGTAAAACTACCTCATCACGTCTTGACTGACAACCCATGTAGGTAGGCTACAATCATTTTGTGCTGTTATACATGACAATACCACACAGAGCATGTCATACTGGAGACAGGGACAGCTGTTGCTATCTATGACAGCTGTGGGTGTACCTTGGAACATCTGACACCTCATTGATAAATTATAGTGATCATCATCAAGATCCTGGAGATAACATGAGGATGAGGATGTTAATGATGATGATGGCAATGATGACGATGGTGATGATAACGATGATGATGATGATGATGATGGTGATGATGATGGTGGTGATGATGATGATGTGATGATGATGATGGCAATGATGATGATGGTGATGATAACGATGATGATGATGATGGTGATGATGATGGTGGTGATGATGATGGTGATGATGATGGTGGTGATGATGATGGTGGTGGTGATGATGGTGGTGATGATGATGGTGATGATGATGGTGGCATGGATGATGATGATGATGATGATGATGATGATGATGATGATGGTGGTGATGATGATGGTGATGATGATGGTGATGATGATGATGGCAATGATGATGATGGTGATGATGATGATGATGATGATGGTGGTGATGATGATGGTGATGATGATGATGGTGATGATGATGATGATGATGATGATGATGATGATGATGATGATGATGATGATGATGATGATGGCGATGATGATGGTGATGATGATGATGATGATGATGATGATGATGATGGTGATGATGATGGTGATGATGATGATGATGATGATGATGATAATGATGATGATGATGATGATGATGATGATGGTGGTGGTGGAAGAGTATGAAGGGCTACTGGGCTATACTGCAAATATTTATTTGTTTGTTTGTTGTGAACTCCGCAATATTCCAACTATATGGCGGCCTTCTGTAAACAATCAATTCTTGACCAGACAATCCACTGATTAACTATAGGGCAAACAGGACATGATAAACGACATATATTTAAATGAGCTGTAGACACATGTTATAGTGTAGATTATTAGCTCTAGCTCTATGTCAATGACAGCTGATTTAGTGGCTCTTCACCTGCTGTAATATTGTTTCTGTGCATGCTGTTCTCAATTAGCACGCCCTTTGATGTGTACAAAATCTCTTTGTTTAAGGATACTGACAACAGTTTGATCATGTAGCAGGTAACCATCACAAAACATCCTTGTGTGTAATTGCAAATTCAACAGCCATTTGACTCCGTGAGTGAGTGAGTGAGTTGGGTTTTATGCCTGGCATTTCTTATAATTATGATGAAAATCCAATTATTCATGCAGTGTAGCTTAGTCTGAAATCTGTTGAATGATCTCATGAAATATACAACAGGATTCCAGTCAGGCAGATAAATAAACATGATAAAACCAGTAGTAATGAGGTTTGTCATGTATGAGATTTATGTAGTTGATACGGAAATTATGTATGCAGGCCGATTTATCATTATTGATTTGAGTTAATAAATTGCTTTATCAATGTCAGCTTAAAGTCTTAATGGTATTGTGTGATGTCATCTAATGGTATTGTGTGATGTCATCTAATGGTATTGTGTGAGGTCATCTAATGGTATTGTGTGAGGTGATATAATGGTATTGTGTGAGGTTATCTAAAGGTATTGTGATCTGATCATAATGGTATTGTGTGAGGTTATCTAATGGTATTGTGTGATCTAATGGTCATGTGTGAGGTCAAATGGTATTGTGTGAGGTCATCATAATGGTATTGTGTGAGGTCATCTAATGGTATTGTGTGAGGTCATCTAATGGTATTGTGTGAGGTCATATAATGGTATTGTGTGAGGTCATCTAATGGTATTGTGTGAGGTCATCTAATGGTATTGTGTGAGGTCATCTAATGGTATTGTGTGAGGTCATCTAATGGTATTGTGTGAGGTCATCTAATGGTATTGTGTGAGGTCATCTAAAGGTATTGTGTGAGGTCATCTAAAGGTATTGTGTGAGGTCATATAATGGTATTGTGTGAGGTCATCTAAAGGTATTGTGTGAGGTCATATAATGGTTTTGTGTGAGGTCATCTAAAGGTATTTTGTGAGGTCATCTAAAGGTATTGTGTGAGGTTATCGGATGGTATTCTGTTGATGTCATCTGATAGTGCCATGGAACACTACTGTATGAAGTCATCTGATGGTGATGGTGAGGTTATGTAATGGTATTGGTACAAGGAGGGCATCTGCTGCTGTTGTGTGAGGTCATCTTAAGATAATGGTATTATTTGATGTTATCTGTATTTTGTCAGAGGTCATCCAATGTCAAGTCACTAGTAGTATGATCTGTCAGGTAAATTTATAACTGGTTTATCACTGTCATTGATTCTAGCAGTATTTCATGATTTCCTTGCCTGTTTCAGAGCAATGTATGCCGGAACAGGTTCACCTGTCCTATGGGAACACATTGTCCGAGATGGTCGTGATGTGGGCGACGCCCAGCAACTGTACCACAGCTCTCGTGTATGGAGACAAAGAATGGGGCTTCCATAACACAGCAAATGGCAGATCCGTCAAATTTGATGTGCAGAATCCAAACGGCATCCAGTATCTACATCAGGTCAAGCTGCAGGTAAGAGGACATCTGGTGACAATTGAGTGAGTAAGTGAGTTTTTAAGCCACTTTTATGCAATATTCTGGCAATATCAAGGTGAGGGACACCAGAAATGGGCTTCAAGCAATGTACACATGTGATGAATTGAACTCGGGCTGTCAGTATGAGGAGCGAACGCTTTAACCACTGGGCTACCCAACCGCCCCTTGACAAGAGGAAGTGACACATATTTGGACATACTGGGTCCTTTATCTGCTGTTCAATAATTACAGACCCTCAAAATATTGGCTTTTTCTTTTTGGCTGTCCTTGGACTGACATTATTTATAACCATTGTCACAGTTCATTGATTGACAGCTGTCCTGAAACTGCTGAAATATCGTGGACTTTGCCATAAGCCAACAAGCAAACAAACAAAACCTAAAGTATTTTTTTCAGTCACTGGTTGGTGATTTTTTCACATTCAACTACATGGCATGCAAACAAAAAAAACATTTCTGGTGTCCCCTGCCTTCATGTTGCTGGAATATTGTTAGAAGGCGGTTTAAAACTACACTCGCTTGCTCGCTCACTCACTCACTCTCACTCACTCACTCACTCACTCACTCACTCCTCTCACTCACTCACTCACTCACACACTCATCACTCACTCACTCACTCACTCACTGTATCACTCACTCACTCACCTTGGATCCCTTGTCCCACACACACAGTTAAAGTACTGTCACCCACTCACTCACTCACCACTCACACACACATGCAGTGTATGGAAATAGAAAAAAACTGTAATCCCTCATTTATCTCTACAATTTTTGTAGTTGATATGTGAAAGTGTGAAATATCTGTTAAACTAAGTTCGGCCTAACTACAGTCTCAGTGGTAGAGAGATAGGAAACGGAGAAAAAGGACTTTACTGAAGGGAAATTAGTGCAGAAATGAGCAATGCGGTTTTTTCTAAGTCCAAAAAGACTTATTTGGAACAGACCATGGCTTTATGCAAATTAGTGTGCGACGATATTGTATTACAAAGGACACTTTTTAAATGCCCAATGTGATATTAGACGTAGATTCCTTATAAACGATAGCTAACGTAAAAAATAATAACTTTTATGCTGAAACTATTAAGGATGTAGCTACCATGCAGTCTCACTGTCACTATAAAAACAAACAGATAGGAGGGGTCGCCTCAAAAGCAAAACCTGGGGTCGGGCTTGGGGATAGAGATATCAGCTAAGATAAGATAATCCTTTAGGGCAATTATACTGGGGAGGTACACGGCACGTCATAACAATTTACAAATAATATCCAGTCCTGTCGATCTTCTGGTGGTCATGCCACCTATGTACTACAATGCGTTTCTGTAGTTTTCGAGTATCATATTCTTTTACATATCTCAACATAAACTTTATGAAAGAAAGACACGATGCATTTCATGCCATTCGACCGTCCGTCGTTACATATCCTGGAGTTACAGCGCTGCGGTAGTTACGGTCCAACAGTAAACTTTATGTGTTAATCAATAGATGAGACATAGTCAACACACATGAAAAAGCACAAAATATCTTTTGAGATGACCTGATTATTAGACAAATAACGCTTAGCACTGTGATTACAGGCAGCATATTCTTTTACATATCTCAATTGCATAAACTTTATGTTTAAATGTCAGATCACATTTTGAAAGAAAGACAAGATGTTAATCAATAGATGAGACATAGTCAACACACATGAAAAAGCACAAAATATCTTTGAGATGACCCAACTTGTGCCTGTTATCAAGGTAACTCCTCGCTAGGGAGACATGTTGATACATGTGTTCAACAAGGTACACCAGACGACAAATTCATACCAAAAGTGCATTTCATGCCAGGTGAGTCGACCGTCCGTCATGTCATGCCAATTACCTGGCTGAGCCTACTCAACCTGACCTAATTGTGAAAATATCACATACAGTAGAATTTTAGTAGATTACACAATATAACTCAAGTGTCAAACTGACAACTGTATTTAAGATGCATCTACAGTCTGATTTTTGTGATGAGCTATTGTTTTCAGCAGCTATTCATGCAGTATTTTTACTTACCATAAATAGGTACAGTAACTAAGTTTTGTAGCATCTTCGAGGCACGGCCGCACGAAATGTGGGCATCGCTATATTGCTTGCCGATTTTACGTTTTCAGCAGCAACATGCTTTTTACGAGTGTAAACATCTGGATATCAGATACGATCCCACTGAACTTCCAGTTAGGCCGGCGGGTTATTTCGACATATGCTGTTTGCAATTGTGTAGTGTAATTTACTTAGCCCACCATCTTTTAGCAATGATTCAGTGCATGATGAATGTTGTTTCAGAACCTGCAAGCAGAGACAACATACCACTACAGCCCCCTCAGTAACAACATTGGTGCCGGCCCTTTCTACTTTAAGACACCACCAGCTGGACAGGTACGCAGCATAAACATTACTGCAGGCGAAAGTGCATGGTTTCGGAACCGGATCAAGCATTTTGTGATTTAGCAGTTCTGGCTCAGTAATCGTGTAATTTTGTTGCAAATCTTTCGCCCAATAAATCATAATGTGTTATGCTTTTACTTGAAGTATACCTGATTGTCATTTAAATTTTTGTAGCAGGAAATGTCAAGGTTGGTTAAAAAAGTGGTGTTGCTTCAAAAAGTTCGTGCTCTCATGCATGTACACAGACCAGGGTCCACATGCACAAAGTGATCTAAGTGCTATGACTCATAATCGTAAGCCCATGTTAATGTATGAGTTACGATCGTCGTAGCTCTAAGGTTGTTTTGTGTCATTATTTCCTACCCCTTGTCATAACAAACCTTGAGTAGAGCTGCCTGCTAAAGTAGATTTATCAGGATGTGTCTCTACACATTTTACTATGGTATTTCGTCTCGTAAATAAATGTTCCCATCAGAAATTATAACAGTAGAATACCAAATAGAACCTAGCATGATCAGAGTGTTATGATCTACCCCTAAACATCTATTAGTGTTGTAATAACTACTATCTTCTTGTTGTTTAGGATGGGAACTATACAAATTTCACAGTACATCATCTCCTAACCATGTCGAAGAATGTCTCTCATTACTTGCATAATGCTTAGAATTTGTCTTCATTCATTGATACCTGTTTGTTTTAAGAGGCGTACACCCACAAATGCTGGTCACAAGCCAGGGCCTAGATTTTCGAAGCTCTCTTAGGCTAAGATAGTCGTGCGTTAATGTTAATGTATGGCACTTTACGACTATCTTAAGCTAAGAGAGCTTCAAAAATCTAGGCCCAGGTCTGGCTCTTTGACTTAGTAGGTGTATGGCATCATATCTAAGTTGTGTAGGACCCGTGAAGATCCTGGTTAGAATTGGTCTTCAGCAACACGTGCTTGTCGTAAGAGGCGACTAATGGGATCAGGCGGTCAGGCTCGCTGACTTGGTTGACACATGTCATCATATCCCAATTGCGTTGGTCAGTGCTCATGCTGTTGATCACTGGATTGTCTGGTCCAGACCCGATTATTTACAGACCGCCACCATATAGCTGGAATATTTCTGAGTGTGACGTTAATCGACACCCAAACCAAACCAAGTTGTGTAGATCATAATGTTAATTACTGGACTCTTTGGTCCAGACTTGTTTATATTTAGACCTTGTCATATGGCTAGCATATTGCTGAGCTCAGTGTTAAAACGCATACACACAAAACATATTTCCAGGACTGGTCACCAATGTTCCTGGTGTACGGAGACCTCGGCATCCATTCCTACACCATCCCCTCACTCACAGACGAGGCGCTGTCTGGGGAGTACACCGCCGTGCTGCATGATGGGGGACTTAAGCCATGGTTTCTTAGTACAACCTGCATGATAATGGGGAAGACGGTAAACGTGAAAAGTGCCATGGTTTCTGAGTAATAAGATTTTACATAAACCACTGAATCGATCACAATTTCTCATAATCAAACACAACCTGTTTTCATTAACATTTTTTCACATGGTTGGTTTTGTCTGTTAAGACAAAAGCGTGTCACGAAAAAAAGATGTTGTTACTCAAATTAATACCCAAGAAACACTTTAGCACTGTAGTTAGAAACAATTATTTTTTCGATGATTGATCGGTTGTAATGAACCAATCATCAATTATGAGATTTTAACCAATTCCCAAGGCATTATTACCCAGCAGGCCCTTTTTATTTGGCATTATTAGCAGGCCCTTTTATGCCATTTTTTCATTTGTGGTCAGTCCTTCTTTTTAATACAGTAATTAACACTAGGTGTTTTTAGTTTAATATTCATGTTGAAAGTTAAGTGAAATAACTGCGCTGTTTGAGTCTTTAAGAATCATATGCATGATTAACTTGGAATAATACCAATACAGTGCACCCTGGTTATAATGCCCCAGGTTATAATGCCACCCTGGATATAATGCCATGTTTTTGCCAAAACCAATTTCCTGCCTATATAATACCCTGGTTATAATGCCCCAGGTTATAATGCCACCCTGGATATAATGCCATGTTTTTGCCAAAACCAATTTCCTGCCTATATAATACCCTGGTTATAATGCCCCGACCCTGATATGCCACCAATTTCCTGGTATATAATGCCAAACTGGATATGCCTGATATAATGCCATGTTTGCCAATGGTTTTGGAACAAAAGTCATTTTCCCCTGGTTATAATGCCAATTGCACTGGCTGCATGTAGTATACATACCTTAATTGGTTAATTGACATGACTCAAATTAATTGACCAAACTCATTAATGCTTTAAGTAGTCTTGTAATCCCAGATAGGATAACACATGTGACAACACACTTTCTGCCACCTACAACAACATGTCACCTGCAGTACCTAGACACTTGGGGGCCGGGGGTAGCCTAGTGGTTAAAGCGTTGGCTATTCAGCACGCCGAAGATCCGGTTCAATCCCCACATGGGTACATTGTGTGAAGCCCATTTCTGGTGTCCCCTGCCGTGATATTGCTGGAATATTGCTAAAAGCGGAGTACAACCAAACTCAGTCAGTCAGTCAGCCTAGACACTGGGATTATCCAGTCTTTCAAGGCTCATTACAAGAGACGTTAGCTCAATCACCTTGTTGACTGCATAGGGCCTCTAACTGTCCTACCTGGTTATAATGCCACCCTGGATATAATTCCATATTTTCTCCTGGACAAACGGTGGCGTTATAACCTGGGCATACTGTACTTGGAAATATGTCATTGCGTGCCCCTTTTGGAATAAGGGTGCCCCTTTTGAATTCTGTCGCCCAGCCCTTTTTGGATACTGGGGGGAAACACTTACGCTTTCACCTGTTTGTAATACTACAAGAAGGAACATTTGAACTTGTTTGTAACGAGGGAGGTATGAATACTTTTGCCACTTTGTTATGATGCAAGTAGGAATACTGTCACCTGTTTGTGACTCTGTATGTAAGAACACTTTCACACTGTATTTATGAATACTTTCACCTGTTTGTGACTCTGTATGTAAGAACACTTTCACACTGTATTTATGAATACTTTCACCTGTTTGTGACTCTGTATGTAAGAACACTTTCACACTGTATTTATGAATACTTTCACCTGTTTGTGACTCTGTATGTAAGAACACTTTCACACTGTATTTATGAATACTTTCACCTGTTTGTGACTCTGTATGTAAGAACACTTTCACACTGTATTTTGGAACACTTTCACCTGTTTGTACCTGTAACGCTACAGGTTGGGGACTCGTTCATGCGGCTGATACAAGGTATCTCCTCCCAGCTTCCCTACATGACATCGGTGGGCAACCACGGTGAGTAGCTAGTGACTGTAGACAGCGGCTGTTGGTAGCACGTAGCCAGTGGGCAAAGATAGTGGTAGCTATCAAAATTATATATATATTCAGAGACTGGTCCCAGTAGCCTGCAGCTAGAGAGTGTGAGTAGCTTGTTGCCAGTAGCCAGCAAGTGTGGGGGCTAGTAGTTGGTGGACAGAGGGTGTGGGGCAATATTAGACAATCTGTCACCAGTAGTCACCAGCAGGTGTAGATGGAGTGGGTGCCAGGGTGGCCTGTTTGTGTGGGTTGCCATGGTGGGTGGTGTGAGTGGGTATCTGCCAAGTAGGTAGACATGGGTTTGGCCTGTAGGTGGCCTGTAGGTGCAGGTGGTGTGAGTGGACTGTGTTTGTGGGTGGCCAGTAGGTAGACAGTGGGTTTGGATGGTTTAGGTGGACTGTAGGTGTGGGTGCAGGTGGCGTCGTGTGGACTGTGTTTGCGGGTGGCCAGCAGGTAGAAAGTGGGCTTTGATGGTTGAGGTGGCCTGTGGGTGTGGATGTACATGGTTTGAGGGTATGGGTGGACTCTTGGGGCTGAACTGACACATCGGTACACTTGTGCTTTTCCGGAGTTTTCATGTGATGATGCAATACTAAATATCCAGTGTGTCTCAGGTGACACTAGGATGATTGAATCAAAATGTAACTCAATCATGGCTACCCTTAGTCTTCTACCTATGCAAACTTTGACGCATTCACAAATCTATCATAATCAGAGGATAAAGCAGAAAATGTATAAAATAAATCGAATGTTACCATTTGGAAGAATCAGTACCATGAGCACGACTATAACTGTTTTGAATTCTTAAATAAGATATATAATCAATATATTTTTTACAGTCACCAGATTAAATAAAAAAAAAAATGGTTATCTTTCAATCATTGAATTATCCACACTGTACAATTCCGTTGGTTTTTCAGAAATCAACGAAGACACATTCGCACACTACCGCCACAGGTTCTCTATGCCTGGATCTGATTGGCCAATTCCTCTAGATAAGATGTGGTACAGCATTGATGTGGGACCTGTGCACTTAATCAGGTGGGACCCTGTGGGGATTACAGTTAAAACTGCTGCTAAGCAACCTCTGCTGGAGACCCGTGAAGATCCAGGATTGAATTGGTCTTCAGTAACCCATGCTTGTCGTAAGAGACGACTAACGGGATCGGGTGGTCAGGCTCGCTGACTGGGTGGACGCATGTCATTGTATTCCAGTTGCATAGGTCGATGCTCATGCAGTTGATCACTTGATTGTCTGGTCCAGACTCGATTTTTTACAGACCGCCGCCATATAGCTGGAATATTGATGAGTGGGACTTTGAACAACAAACAAACCTGTGCTGGTTGTAAGAGTTGACTTACAGGTCTGGTTCTCCAGCTCCATGACTTGTTTGATTGCATGTCATCCTACCCGAGGGCATGGACAGGTGCTCACAATATCAACCACCAGTTAAGAATGAACTATTTACATGCTTCTTTGAGTGGCATGTTTAGAAGTTGGAGAATCAGACAAGGACAAAACTTTATAACTTCTATATTCGGATGATGCGACGTTTCGATACAGATTCTTGTATCGTTGTCAAGCCTAATGTTTGTTGTCAAGCTTGACAGCGATACAAGAATCAGTATCGAAACGTTGCATCATCCGAATATAGAAGTTGTACATCCATAAAGTTTTGTCCTTATCTATTTACATGCTGCTGACTCTGATGATGAAATATTTGGATTTAAATAACAATGAAGCAAAGGATGAACTTTGTCCAAAGTCTTTTGAAGTGCAATTTGTAGATGAGACAACCACATGGCTATAAGCTGATGTTGTATACTTCAACAAACACTTAGCATTGCCAGTTTTGTCACACAAGCTGAGCATTATTAAGTTTGAGCTGTTTAACCTCTTACTGGCATTCGGGGTGGTGGGGTAGCCTAGTGGTCAAAGCGTCTGCTCGTCACACTGCAGATCCGGGTTCGAATCCCCACATGGTTACAATGTGTGAAGCCCATTTCTGGTGTCCCCAGCTGTGATGCTGCTGGAATATTGCTAAAAGCTTCGTAAAACCAAACTCAGTCAGTCTTACTGGCATTCCGTTTTCTGGCTATGGCTTGACTTAATGGTTAATAATGTGGACAGCATTCAGGTGCCATTCTACACTTAACATCTAGTCTCTGAAATGAACATATTTTACAGAAACAAAATTGTGTCTAAATTATGTTCATAAAATACAATAAAAAGGAGCCCAGAGATTTTATCATTTCTAGTAGCTGTGGTACTCTAGTCTTGCCACATATTCTAGACTTGCATAGGCTGCATTGGATATATATTTGTTGCAGGGTCTGTACTAGTGTCATTGTGGCTCAAGAAGTATTGAGAATGCTAAAAGATTTCTATCAGGTCTGACTACTGAGACCAAACCGAGACTTGTTTCAGACAAGAACATCCAGAGCTTAAGGTCACTCTTACCATAAACAAGGATTGGACTGAACTGCATATAGAAATAAGATTTTCTTGTCAAAAAAAAGTTCATTGTCCCAAATTGATTCAGTTAGACATTCTCTGACTCAAAAAGGAAATTGTTTCAAAATGTACCTTTTGAAAATTATTCAGGCTCATTGTTTTAGTTTAGAAATATCTGGTTTAGCAGCTACGACTGACAAAATATGTAGTCTCCATATAACCCCAACCCCAGAATATCAGATGGTTGGTTGTTTAGGCATCATTATAAAACGTTTGGTTTGAGAAAGGAATGTTCTTTTTTCAGCTATTCCACAGAGGTGTTTTTCACTCTGGACAAGAAGTATGTTAACACGCAACATGATTGGCTACTTAAGGATCTGAAACAAGCCAATGAGAATCGAGCAAAATGTCCATGGGTGGTAGCCTATGGACACCGTCCAATGTATTGCTCCAATGATGACAATGATGATTGCACCAAGCCAGACTCTCTAGTCCGAGCGGGGTAAGTCTACACGTGTTCACTCTCAGTATGTTATGTGCACATTCTGACTGGGCAAGTTGGAAGTGATCATGAGTGGCTGAGTGAGTGAGTTAGTTTTCACGTAGGTGAGTGAGTGAGTTGGTCTTGGTTGAATGAGAGTGAGTGAGTGGATGGGTCAGTGTTTTTGAGTATGTGTGTAAGTTATGTGATTGGGCAAGTTGGGAGTGAGTAGATGGGTCAGTGTTTAGAGTTAGTGAGTAAGTAGTTCACACAGGGCCTGTTGGGGTGTGAGTGAGTGAGTGGATGCGTGTTGCCAGTAAGTTTAGAAAGGAGTTTCCCTTCTTGATGTTTTCACTGGAAAATATAACTGCCAATCATATCTTAATACATGAACATGTTGAATGACTGAGCGAGTAAGTGAGTGAGATGGTACTGAAAAGCCTAGAACTGTAGTCAGGGCAAATCAGGAATGAAACTCACAGTCTTAGTTTTCTGGCCCACCTAAGAGGCGCAACTGTTATATTTGGAATTTTGCTTTTTCGGTACTTTATATTTATTAGGGGCGGTGTAGTAACCTAGTGGCTAAAGCATTCACTTGTCACGACGAAAACCCGGGTTGATTCCCAACATGGGTACAAGGTGTGAAGCCAATTCTGGTCTCCCCCACCGTGATGTTGCTGGAATATTGCTAAAAGTGGCGTAAAAACATACTCACTCACTCAGTAATTTTTGGAGTCCCACTGTGGATTTGAACCCACATTCCCAGAGTGAGGCACCTTATCATCAGCACACAAAGTCAGCAATCTACAAAAACCAGCTTCTACAAAGGTGTACAAATGCGGTGTTCATAAACATATTTGTACATTCAATATACACAACCCATGAAGATCCAGGTTAGAATTGGTATCTAGCAACCCATGCTTTCATAAGCGGCGACTAAGAGAATTGAGTGGTCAGGCTCGCTGACTTGGTTGACACATGTCATCGTATCCCAATTGCTTAAATTGATGCTCATGGTGTTGATCACTGGATTGTCTGGTCCAGATTTTATTAATTACTGACCACCGTCCATATAGCTGGAATATTGCTGAGTGCATTAAACAACAAGCCAACCAATATACACAACCACTTATTGGAATCTTATGCACATCATCGTACAACAGTAAAAACATGTAGAACAATATTGATACTGAAAATGTGTAGTTTTATTGATAATTACTGGCAAACAAGGATAGGTTGAGCACCGACCAGACAATTGACCTGTATTAGCATGTATGAGTGCTGCCAGCTGGCACTTGCCATTATTAGCGAAGGGGCCCCAGGTTGTCCGCGATCAAGTGTAGTGCGACTTGCTACAACGACGTGAGAGTCTTATGAGCAAGGCGTGTGCAGCTACACGCGGAATCAATTTCATCATCATGCAATGCACGTGCACTAGCCTACATCTGCTCTTCCTGTCATAAACCAAATGGGTTTGCTCCTTGCCGTGCACCACCTACTTCTTGTAAACGCGTTCTCTGTGCCGGTCCAACATATCCTTGTTTGCCAGTAAACAAATAAGGAATTAATGTGTCAAAGTAAAAAAATGCATGCATGAAGTTACAATTTTCAGTAATATCTTTTCCAGATGTGTTATAAAATTAATCTGACATGTTCTCCCTTATTTCTAGATTGGAGGACATTTTCTACCACTTTGGAGTTGACATTGTCATCCAGGCCCATGAACACTCCTATGAGCGTCTCTGGCCCCATTACAAGGGTGTGGTAATTGCCAACAACTACACCAACCCAGGGGCTCCCGTGCAGCTCATTACTGGTGCAGCTGGAAGCAAGCATGGGCTGGACCTTATGGCTAACAGGACTGATGGTAGGTGCAGGGAGCTTTGCCACAGGCAGGAGCTTTGGTGCAAATTATTGGAGTTGTCTCCCTTGGATCAGTCTCTTCATGCTGTTACACGCACAGCAGTGGTGTGGCCAGGAATGTTTTTACTGGAAGTGGTTATACTCAGATTAAGGACTTGATGATATGAGTGTGGATGTATTTGAGACAATTATTACAGGGCCATAATTGGGGATGTTAAGAATGTTTGCCCTTTGTGAAAAGGTTGGTTTTTCATGCTTCTTTTCGCAGTACAGGAAATTACGGTTACATCAAACTCAAAGGGACCACTATTTTAATTTGTGATAACAACAATTTGATTTCCACAAGTGGCTGGGACCAGTAAAAATAATTTGTTATATCCGTTGGTTTGTTATAAGTGTGTTTGTGGAGATGTTGTTTGCTGTATTTTAGCGATACCACAGCGGGAAACAGAAGAAATAGGCTTCACTCATTACTGGGAATCAGACCAGGGCTAATTCTAACCTCGAATCTCAAGTTTCAATTTGTTACAGATTATCATTATAAAGCTGTTGTATTGACTGACTGCAACATTACGCTGGTAATAAATATCTGACTGCAACATTACGCTGGTAATAAATATCTGACTGCAACATTACCTAATAATAAATATCTGACTGCAACATTACCTAATAATAAATATCTGACTGCAACATTACCTAATAATAAATATCTGGCTGCAACATTACCCTAATAATAAATATCTGGCTGCAACATTACCTAATAATAAATATCTGACTGCAACATTACCCTAATAATAAATATCTGACTGCAACATTACCCTAATGATAAATATCTGACTGCAACATTACCCTTATGATAAATATCTGACTGCAACATTGCCCTAATAAAAATATCTGTAAGAGGGTTCTGATCACGATTTAAGAATCAGTTTAATACTTCATCATGTTTCATGTTTCTCTTCCAGATCCTTGGTCAGCCTTCAGACGAGACAATGGCTCCCTGAACAGCTATGGCCGCCTGGAGATCGTCAACTCAACTCATGCATTATGGGAGCAGAAGTCTGCCATGGACCATGACCTTATGGATTCAATTTGGATCGTGCAAGAAAACCACGGACCCTTTAAGACAGAAGAACTGCCAGCGAATCTGACAAAAGAAATTGAAGAAACCATTGAGGCTACTGGCGGTAAGCCGACATTCTCAGAAACTGAGACAGTAGATACAAATTCTGCGATTGTTGAAGATGACAATAAGCAACGAATGGCTATTGGAATAGCATTTGGTTGCCTGGTTGCTGTTGTACTAATTGTTGTGATAGCTGTGAAGAAATGTCGGCGGAAAAGGAAAGCTGTTCGGAGGTGGGAACAGATGGACTTCAATTACGGGAAAAAGTTCTATTCCCCTGCCAAAGATCTGGACAAGGAATTGGATAATGATTTTGAGATCGATATGAGTGACGGAACTCTTCCTACAACCAAATTGCTGTCGGACGACTAGCCGAAACAAAATATGCATAATGTCAAACTGGACTACTAACTTTGTGATGCCTTGTGTTACCATGGTTACAGCCTTAGATGTATGTAAGGCTGGATATTCATCATTCCATTGTAAGGAAACATTTTGTGCCTTATTCACCATCATTCCACGCTTTCTCCAAATGATTGTTTGACGTTGTGATGATGTTTTACTGTGTTGAGCATAATATATGCAATGAGTCATAGCGATCCACATGCTGAGCAAGGCCTATTTCACAAAGGGATCTTAACATTAAGGTGATCGTAACTCCTGTATGTTGACATCGACTAAAGATCGTAGTAGCGCTAGGATCGCTTTGTGGAACCTACATTGTATGATGTATGACTGTGTTGAGCATAATATCTGCAATGGGTCATAGCGATCCACATGCTGTGGGAGTCCCCATTCCACAAATGATGTTTGATAACTGTGTTGGCATCGACAAAGATAATATAGGATGCATGATGTTTTACTGCGTTGTGCATAATATATGCAATGAGCCATAGCCATCTACATGCTGTGTGAGTCCCCATTCCACAAATGGAAGTAAGCATTAAGGTGATCGTAACTCCTGTACGTTGGCATTGACTTAAGATCGTAGTAGCTCCAGGATTGCTTTGAGGAACCTACATTGTATGATGTATTACTGTGTTGTGCATAATATATGCAATGAATCATAGCCATCCACATGTTGTGCTAGCCCTATTCCACAAAGTGATCTTAGCATTGAGGTGATCGTAACTCCTGTATGTTGACATCGACTTAGTAGGGCTAGGATCACTTTGTGGAACCGGGGCCCTGGTTACATAAATGGATTATGACGCTGCTCAAAGAAATCCGCAAGTAATAGTTTCAAGGTCATTTTCAAAGACATCACATTAGTGTATGTCACGTATGAGGCGCTTTGTGATTTTGTTGTTTGGAAACCTGGATTGTTCTAACCACATGACGTCCACCACTGTCTGTAAGGGACTTCGTTATTTACAAAACTGATTTGTGTTGTGAAGTAACTGCTAACATGTCCAGCACCAGTATTTTTAAGGAAGTGTTTTTAAAACCCAATTTCATATGTCATGACCTGCTTCACTTTTTGTGATATATATACACTTTCTTATATGTAAAAATAGTGTCTGTTATATAAAACGCTCACCTTAGTACCTGTATTACTTCTTGTATACTGTGAGTGAATGAGTATTGTTTGAGGCAGTTTGTGGCAATATTCCTGTCGTATGAGAATGCAAAACACCAGAGCTCAGTTGTACGAATGGGTCTGTTTGATACAAATATAACATTAGCCCAAGATCAGGCCCGTGCCCTGAAAGACTGGCAGTGAAACTCACCTGTGCTCTGATACAGGTACAGGTATGGCTGTGCCTCAGGCTGACTAAAATGATCGTTAATCGGAAATACCGTCAATAGGAAAAACTATTAATGATTATTGATGTAAAAATTGTGTTATCGATAATATCGTATATTCACATTTGTGATAGAAAAAGGTTTTATTTTCTCACACAATATACAAATTTAGAACTTTTTTCATCGCCTACTTCTAAATTATGGTTAATAATCCATGCAAAAACATGTCACCACTCACTAGTGACGTGAAATATATTCATTTCTTTCAGATATTTTGGGTATTTTACGTTTCCAATATTTATCGATAATCGATCAATACTTAGTTAATGATTATTGATTTCTATTATCTAAACTAACAGACAAAAGAAACGATACAAAGTCAAAATCACGATTATTACAAAACGACAAACCACCATTGTGAAAAAGGAAAGTGAATTTTAATAACAGACATGTTGCCCATACCCCTGTTATTAAAATTCACTTTCTTTTCACAATGGTGGTTTATCCTTTTGTAGTATCAGTGATTTCGATTTGGTATCGTTTCTTTTGCCTGTTAGTTTATATCGATATCCAGCCCTAGCTGTCCCAGACAGTCAAGTGTATCAGTTGGTACTCAGTCAAGATGGAGACGGAGGAAGATGGTGTATGAGTGGAAGGCTGGCCTGTGTGATGAGGAAGATATGTCTGTTGTATTATTGAAAAGTCTTCCATGGTGTTTAATTGCTGTTCCTTTCTTTCCATACGGTGATTTTGTACAGTGTCTCTCAACATGACAGTTTGTGATTAGATATTTCTAATAGCTCTTTGTCAGATATATGGATCAAGATGAGAGTGCAAGGGGGTGCATCCTCGTCTTTTTAAGCATACGGATCATGTTAATGTGTAAAACGACATATAAATGAATCATTTGGTGATGTTGACAACAAAATAAATATGTCTTTACAAGTTTATTTAGGATGTCCAGCATGTGGTATATTTCAGAAGCAATCGCAATTTTGAAATCACCCTTTCATTTCCCTAGAAATTAAGCAAATGAAAATATAACAATGTTTTCAAATTTCCATGCAAAGCACATAGTTTGGAATCTAAGATTCATCACGGAATACATAGTGATGTCGATTCATAATGTGTGAGAGACTGTGTCCTTGTTGTCTCTGTTTAGTTATGATAATAAGATTTGTGGATGTTAGTTTCAGAATTAGTGGACGGGCTAATGTAAAGCGTTCAGGGTTTTTCATGAAACTCATTTATGACTCATATTAGATCATTGTTGGTCATCAGCTTTATATAATAACACGCTGAGTGTACAGTTTGTACTCAATAATCCATGACTGAGGGTAGTATTTGTATGAATACAAATACAATAGGGATAAGCATCTAGTGTCTGGTAAGAGCTGGCTGCACAGATCTGCCAGGTCTAACAGTAAACCCAAGACAATATTGGGCCCCTAATATACTACTCACACTTTCCAAACTTTACTTAAACGTAGATATATAATTTGAAATTGCATCCATTTAAAACTAGATAAATAATGATATGGTAAGCCCTCTTTAGGCAAACAGTCACTTTAATCAAACCTTATGCACTTGCTACATGAGTAACCATAAAAATGGTTTTCATGGCACCAATCAACCATTTTGCAAATCATGAAACGAGTCAGGGACAAGTACCCAACACCTGTCGATAGCAGGTATCTGTTCCACAAGATGCAGTGACATACTGAATCCTAGGATCCATGCTTACAATAAGCTTAGATATTTAAACCAAATTTGACCCCACATCATAGTTTTCTGTTGAATCAATTATTTGATCCTTAGCAAAGTGTGAATAGTATAGAAGAAATAACATGAGTTATATGAAATCATCCTTTATGATGGTCAGTCTTTCACTACGGCTTCACGTGACCATCTTTCCCAGACCATGTTATGTAAGGAGGATTGTAACATTGCAAGAGCATTGTTTATCCACCAGTACAGTGAGTGAGTGAGTGAGTTTAGTTTTACACCGCTCTTTTCTGCAATATCACAGTGGTGGACACCAGAAATGGGCATCACACCTTGTACCCAAGTAGGGAATCAAACCCTGGTCTTCGGTATGACAAGCGCTTTAACCACTAGGCTACCCCACTGCCGCTGTGTAAAAAGAAAACCTTTTCGAAACCCTAGTACATTTAACACTATGCATATTAAACCGTAAGACAATCAAAATACATATATATTAAAAATTTAAAAATGATATAATAATTTACTTTCCTATCATCATTCTTGAAATTTCTGAAAATTTGATCATAGCATTCATTTCGTTGTAGCTCTGAGCATTTGTCAGTAAAAAAGTGAAGTACCAAGTATAACTTGAAATTATGTGAAATAACAGCCAGATGTGATGAATATCAGAAAAAACACGCAAATTCTTCGGATTTTCACGGAGGTCAAGCACTGTTGTGGTGAACTATGATATGGTGAACTAATAGTTGTCTTGAGGTAAACATTAGTTACCAATCTTTCTAGTTCAATATGTTTCGGTTGTGTTGAATGTTTGATAACTTGAATTATTTATTTAGGTACCTTCAACTTTGACACAAGGATGTCTGATGTTTGTGCAAAACATAAGATAAATATCCTAGTCGTCTCATTGACTTTCTTCCATAGGAATTCAGTAAAATGTTTTGGCAATCAGACAGTTCTTGTGTGTTTGGTATGGTAGCCTTAGGGTAGTCATGTGTGAAACAGAATGGATTTTTTGCATTTTTCGTTTAATCAAGTCATCTGCGTTTTAATATATATCTCGATTAATATGTGTTATACTTTTTCTGTGATTGTGAATATTATCAGAGTCAAGTTGTATAAAATGTATCAGGTTTCTTTACTGCAGTGATTCATTCCATGTTTGATGACTTTGCGCCTTGTTTTAGTGAACACAGCATGGTGTTGTCAAGGTGGGGAAAATGGTGATGTCATGAAGACTGTATGCTCCACGGGCAGATTGTGAAGGTAGTACACAGTCATGTTGGTACATGGTGTGGGGTTGGTGTGGAAATTCACTCAAATCTTTTTATAGAACACCATACGGTCATGTTTCAAATATGGAACAATTGTATATGTCAAGATTGTACTCTTCTATGGGTGTGTTGTCAAGATGAAACTCTCTATGGTCGTGTTGTCAAGAAGCAACACTCGATGGGGCGTGTTGTCAAGATGGAACAGTCTATGGGCCTTTTGTCAAGATGGAACACTATGGGTGTTTTGTCAAGATGGAACAGTCTATGGCCATGTTGTCCAGATGGGACAGTCTATGGCCATGTTGTCAAGATGGAACAGTCTATGGGCCTTTTGTCAAGATGGAACACTATGGGTGTTTTGTCAAGATGGAACAGTCTATGGCCATGTTGTCAATATGGAACAGTTAATGGCCATGTTGTCAAGATGGAACAGTCTGTAGCCATGTTGTCTAGATGGAACAGTCTATGGCCATGTTGTCAAGATGGAACAGTCTGTAGCCATGTTGTCTAGATGGAACAGTCTGTGGCCATGTTGTCAAGATGGGACAGTCTATGGCCATGTTGTCTAGATGGGACAGTCTATGGCCATGTTTCTAGAAGGAACAGTCTATGGCCCTGTTGTCAAGATGGAACAGTCCATGGTCAAGGCGGTAAAGTGTATCGTCATGTTGTCCATAATGAAACACTTTATTGTTGTGTTGTGAAGGTGGAACAGTCTATGGCTGTGTCAAGGTGGAACACTCTGGGTATTTGGTCAAGGTGGAACACTCTGGGTATTTGTCAAGGTGGAACACTCAATCTCCTATCATCCCTACTGCATGACCCTGTAGTGTAGTCACAACCATTACCTCTTGCAACATTCCACAAAACTGCATATTGATTTTCTAAAATATTGAAGATTGGACACACAATTCTTTCCGAAGTGTCTGTAAATATATATGTGTGTGTTGTGCAATAAAACAAACTTTGATCTATTAAAACTTGCTACTGTCATCAATGAAATAACACCATATACAAAGCGGACAAACCAGTGGACATTTGATGTATGAAATAAA